TTGGCTAGAAAATTTATAAAATTATAAAATTGGCCTGCAATTGGTGAAATGATGACATGATCAAATTGATGTAGACGTAGAAAATCATAAAGAGAAATTGGTTTAAGGTTACCTGGAGTGAGTTGAACTGGAAATGTTAGCGTGATGATCTTATATACGTTTCTATGACATTTAAGATTGTAAATGTTGCGAATATTGATAGGATTACTGTTCTTAATGTTCATGTTCTGTTTAGAAAATGTGTTTTTAATATAATTTGTTTAAGGTCTTGTCGATAATACTACAGTATATCTTTTCGTGCGCAAGGTCTTAAATTGTATATGTGTTGTCTATTAAACCATCAATCTGTCATATTAGATGGCGTCATGTTATTTAAAGTTTTAAAAACAGTGTATTAGATCTAACCATTAAACGATCTGTCAACTGCCATAAAAGTAATTTTGCAAAAGAACCGAAAGGAACGAAATTTCTTGGAATATTAGGATCCTTTTTTTTGATATTTGCATTTAATTTATTGTCTCTGATTTAAGGAAAAAATAATTATGTTAAAGTCTTCAAAGGCATTCATCAACGCATCAGCAATAAACGCAATACAATGAATTAGATTGAAAATAATGAGTACGAATCAAATTATATTTGTTGTTTTGTTTTCTGGTGGCGCTTTCGGTAGAATCAAATTTTGCTCACATAATAACTGTCATTTTGAAACAAACACTGAACTAAAATCAATTTTGTTTTTCTTTGCAATGACATATGTAAGTAAAATCATGTTTACTTCGGCCGGGTATCGTTTAATGGATACTTCTTTATGTTTATTATTATTATTATTCTTTTTATTACTATGTTAAGTACACCGGTATGATAACTGGATATTAAAATAAATGAAATGTTATGCATGCTATACTTGAATTCTTAAGACTTGCTGATCATATATGTCTTTTGTATATGATATTATACATCTACATGTATATTTTTATCAATGTACATTTAATGGTCATCGCCAAATGAAAATTAAGTGTATCAACGTTAATTGAGATATTGTGCTTTCGTTTATTTTCTTTTTTACATAGAATATCATCGTAATGATTTCAAAGTAAATTTTTATTTTCATGGTATGTCAAGAACATTAAGCCTAATGGCAAAATTTGCACTAATATAAATATATTGATACTAAATTACGATTGTGCAAACAGAAAAAATGGGTTGAAAAGTGATAGGGTGATTTTTTCATGATATAAACAAGGAATGTAACGTCGCTTATAGTTCCCAACGAATATGTTAAGATGCCCCATTTTGATGGTTAAAGCACTCTTTATAATTATTATGTTATTATGTGTTCGACTAAGGTTCATTTAACTATTGTATTAGCTGTTACATTATCATTTATCAGGCAAATCAAATCATCATCTTAACACCCATCATCATCATGAATCATCTTCAATATCATCATGAAGCATCAGCAGCAGCAAAAGGCCGGGCCGGCCGGCGTCCCCGTCGTTCATAATCATACATCATTAACCACACATCAGTAAAATTAAAAATCGTTACTCTATCCATCAAATCATTAATCAATTTTTATCCTCCATCAATCTGAAAAACCTTATCATCAAAAGTATCGTCAGCAGTTATTTATCACCATCATCATCATCGTCGTCGTCATCATCATAGTATTATCATTCTCATCATCATCGTTATCATAGCCTTCATTTAAATGTTATAAGTTTCAATGATAATTTTTTTTTTCCAAATTCATTAAAATGAGACAAGATTGTACAGTCACCTTATACCTTCATTATATATGCGGAGATTTTAACAGTTGTCATTTATTATAAAGGGGGTCTATATTTGGAATTAATCATTTTTCTTTCACTATTTTTCACATTTATCGACATAATATCAAGATTTCGTGGTATTCAGATAAAGCCGGTTTCTTATGGTTCCGGTTACAAAGATTTAGTGACATGAAACTGATGTCCTGAAGGACATGGCGATTTTAATGGGCTTCAAAACGAGAAATGAAATAACATGGCGTTAGGGATAATGACTTTGAACAATGAATCATATAATTATGATCATACGTGTGAGTCTGAAAAGAATCGGAATTTTATCTTACCAATGAATCACGAAAATGCAACATTTTTATTTTTTTAGTTATGGGAGGTTAGAGTGATAGTTTAAAAAGTATCTATTGAAGCTCGGTTGTGATAAAACTTAAATTGTATTTGAAATAATTAGAAAGTTATACAGGAAGAAGGAAAAAACAACAATTTTCTTTTGACACGCACACATTTTATTTTTAAGTACAAAAGACAACACACGTTCAATCTGGTGATCTGTAATTCTTTCGTTGATTTCTAAAATGTTTTAAATGAATAAATGCAATCTAAATAAAATGTTTAATGTATTCGATTGAATGGCACTCTCGTTGTTGTGATTTGAAAACTTTAAACTTAAAGATTTCAAAAAAACATAACTTATTATTACCGCAAAACAAACAAAACATACAAGGTGATTATTTTTTATCTTCAGTTCTTCCAATTATTCTGTTCTGATTAACATACAGAAATATTTTCTAACAATCTTTAAAATACTATATACTACGAGTATACTACGTGAAATGAATTTCTAAAGGGACACAATTCTTTGTATTCATTTGAAAACACTGTACCAAAAAGAGGAAACTCTTTAAAACCAACTTCAAAACAAAAGCACATTATTAAGCTTAAATATATATAACGTTCAAATTTGATGCTTGAAAATACTGATAATTGCGATACAGTTTCTCTTAAATCGTAAGAAGAACTTTCATGTAGTTAACACACAAAGAAAATAAGTTTAAACCTCTGCACACCACAGGAACACACATTATGAATTAATAAATAGTATAATCTAACTTGTAGGTATTTTTCAAATTAAGGGTCAAATAGTCTTGACTTTAAAAATTAATAATGCAGCTTCCTCTAAAAGATAATTGCATTCTGACGTATTCAGTGAGAATATCCTAGATTTTAAAATATTTTATCAAAAGAAGACCATAATATATTATATCATTACTAAAAGACAGGTGATAAACTAGAATTGTCTAACAAGCTTTCAAATATTTGCTCATAATTGCAGCTCAAATTTGTAATCTAATACATAATGTCAGTTATTCTATGTTAAGTTTAACGGATAGATTTCAATGTTAAGTTATATTTGTTATGTTAATCATTAATAAAAAGGAAAGAACGTAAACAACGAAAAAACGTATTTTTAACACATATCTGATGATCTATCTACTCAGTCAAAAATACATGCTTTCAAAAATCAACCTATTGTATTAATTAAGAAGATTTTTTGAAAATGAAGCTGAAATGGCGATATGACATAAAGTACAAATTTCTTCATCAGAACAAATACATGTACATATATCAGTTTATATATAAAAGAAAATCAAATCACACGCAAACAACAAAACATAATCTCTGAAACAAGTGATGTACAATGGGCGATTCAAATTAAAAAAGCATCAACATTTTCATTATGATAATGCTTTAGAATAAGCCATCTAATATTGTTATGCTTTTTAATTCAAACAAATTAAACAAGATTATATGAGACCCTTACACACATTTTAAACATAATACATGTACATACAGCATATGCAAATTTATAGCAATACTCAATCAAGAAAATTTTAGGCTAAATTAAATAACATAAACTTATCATTAAGATCAAGATAAATTTATGAAATATATTTCAATTCTGAGAGTGTATTGTTCTAGAATAATGCACGGTTTGAGTTCAAATGCGTAGTAACATAATCACGAAAGCCGATAGGCCTGAGTTATTAATAACGAACGAAAAACATACATTATTAAAGAAATAATATATCCCAAACTGTGAATTAATTGCTCAATAAAATCTCTGTTTGGAGTTCGGATGCATGGAATTATATCACGAGGGCGTAGCCTGAGTGTTATAATGATGCGCATCCGAACGACAATGATGTTATTAAGCAATAAAATCACCGATTTGGATATATTATTTTGATTCTAACTCGACATCAACAAATAAATGCTGCCCTACCTAATGCTAAGCTTAATTGCGCCTGATTTGTGTCCGTATTTATTGGCAGCGCGCCACATTTTAGTGGTTACGTCACGTGTATACTGATTACGTCACGTGTTTAAATATAGACCGTCAAATAGTGATTTTATAGCATAAAAACACACACTTTCGGTTCTACTATGTTCAATAGGGAAAAATGCGGATCGTGTTAGAAAATACAATAATGCACGAGCAATTAATATATATTTTCACTCTAACACGTCAAGAAAAAATATAATAATTATTATATAGGTAGACTTTATGTTTGGTGGTTAAATTTGTTTTCGCCTCAGACTTTCCAATAGAAAGCCCCTTTCAAGGCTATTCTGGACAGTGGGTTGAAAAAACTTTAAATCTACATTGCGAAGAATCATTTTGAGAATAATGAATTTTGAAAACGTTGATAAAACCTAGCTTGTTTATTTTATTTAAATCTATATTTTTTTTTTCAAGCAAAAAGTATCAATAGCGAAATGTGAAATGTAACTAGTTTGCGACATTGAAATAACGTTCTTGATTTAATTGTTTCTGCACGTGCTGTTTGGCGCTACATTGTGACGTCACGTAAACAATACTTTTAATGTCTGTACAGCGTTAGCGACTGAATTAAAAGACTAATTCATTATTAAAATGTTTTTCTGCATTCTTTTACGTAAATCATATCGCCGTTAAAGATCATTATATTTACTGCCGCTCTTTTGTTTATATTTGCTGCCAGAATATGTTAACATGGATGTCTTAATAATAAACGTGATACATTTTTGGTTAACCTAGTTCTTAAAACAATTCATTGCTTCTAGCTGAGGAATCATTTTTCTGTTTATGACATATTTCTGTTAAATCCAATTATATTTTTGGAGTAGCAAGTTATAAAGCCACTGATTAATTTTTTAGTTTTATTTTGCGGCTCGTTAAGCAGAGTATATTTTTTCCAGACTCTGTTCTGCCTCTGATTTGGTGATATTTTTCCATGAAGAAGGAATATGATCAATTTTATAATTATAATGATTTTTAAGTTCATCTTTGTATGTCGCTACAAACCACATCCAATATTTAGATGAGTCATGCATATTAGATGTTGGTGCTATGTCCCAATTTGGAAGGTATGTTTTGTAGTCCCTAAAAAAATGTGATTTACCACAATCTTTTCTTTTTTCGGCATGACAAATGTAATTGAAAACTCCGCACGTATATGATAAATTTGACTGAATATCAAACTCGCATGATGATAAACATGCATTGTGCGTGTCATAGTTACGAATACCCCTGCAACATAAAGGGCGATGTTGTATACTATAATGATTAGAGTCCCCATGGTCCTGACCCTTGGCACATGGTTCTCCACAAAATGGGCATTGTTCTTGACATCCCCAAATTTTTTTTAATATGCGAGATATTGGATTAAAAGATGCCCATGTAATTGTTTGGCTCGTCTGTGATTTGAATTTAGCAGCAAGATTCTCTTCAGATTTGCTCAAATGATCTAAAATTGTAGTTGTCAAATATTCTACATTTTGAATACTATATGAAGTTTCTTGTCTTACATTCCGGAAACTTTCAGATGGAATAGAACAATCAGCCGATTTCATAAAGCTTTGAAAAGATTCTAACCATGTTTCAATAGAGGGCGGAGATTTCCCATCATATTTCATTTTGACCTGTCGTACACATTTATTGACAGTGCCGAAGAATTTTTTAAGCAATGAGGATGCAGTACTAGCAATAATAGGAAACTTTGGATCATCAAGATACTGATTTGCCTTTTCAGTTATCCATGTACTAGCATATATATGTGGATCATCAATATATTTGACACAATTTTTAAAATTTCCTCCCTTCAAAAGATCTATGCATATTTCTATTATGACTCTATCTTTGACCTTCGGAAGAAGAGACAGTAATTCATCCGTTACCTTGTTTGGCATACTTTGAGATGTCCATTCTTTTGCAAAACTTTCTATGACATTAGCAAAAAGAGTTGCGACAATATCTTCAAATTGGCGGCATCGCAAATGAGATTCAAAACTAATTTTTTGTTGTTCTCTATATTTTTCATGAAGAATTGCAGTGGCATGCGTTTTGAAATACTTTTCATTATGACTTTCGAAAACTGGATGGACATGCCTACTAACATGTACATAGATTTTCACATAAAATGTCAATTTTAAATAATATTTACTTTCTCTTTCTAAGATTGCATGTATACTAGAGTCAAGCTCATGCATTAATTTATTAACAGACATTACTGTTACTTCATAGTTAACTTCGCAAAGCTCTTTAATTTTTCCATCAACTGATGCAAAAATTTCGTTAACCCTGTTTTCGACATCTTTCATTGTATCGAACCATCCAACTGCTGATTTTGCCTTTTGTATTAATGTTAAGCTTATATCTGTATTATTTATCCTTGTTTCACCAAACGAGTTAGCTAACTGTTTCACATTTGACAATGGCGTTAAATCGCCAGATTCTTGCAAAGCTTCCTTAAGCAAAGCATGATTCTTCTTAAATATATTGTCAAGGCATGTTCGAAATATGATCCGCATTTGTTTTCTGTGTTTCTCTGTACTTGTTGGAGAAGTATCAACTCTTTTGAGAAATGTTTCCCAAATATCACTGAACAGGTCATCTATTTTCTTGCTAGTTATTGCGTGACCTTTGTACTGGTTTGCAACTTCCATTGATCTTTTTCTGAGTTCCTCTTCATGCTTTCTTTGACAAGTTAATGTTGGGATTTCTAATGATCTTTTCATTTGACATTTTTCTACATGTTCTTTAATGATTTGTTGTAGTTTTTCACAAAGCATAGTCACACGGGTTTGCTGAATATTTTTCCATTGAATTATGATGTCTTTATATTTATTTCCCTCAAAATATGTTTCAATATTCGCTTCAGTTTTGAATTTTTCATTAATAAGACATTCATTAAGTTCGCTTATCAGATCATCTGCCACTGTTCGTAACTGTTCGTTTCGATCACATGTAGCAAAGCCGTTTAAAGAAATTTGTATGAATTTATCACGAGTAAGGCTTTCAAGCCGCCAAAGTTCAGCCTGAACAAACGACTCCATTTCCATATAAGCCTTAATTTCAAGGCTATTTCTGAAAGAGAAAACATAATCTTCATTGAGAACACCCTTCCATAAACTATGTGCTTGTTCAATTATATCGTTCAATGATTTGTAAGATTTGTTCTTCATTGTCAAAGCCTTCTTCAACATTTTGCATTTTATATCCACAACTGTTTCGCTGTATTCATTATTTACTCTCGCCATAGGTGGATTTCCTTGCAATAAATTCTTCAGATACCAGACTTGATTATTAATATCAAATTCAATAACCTGGTTAAAAGTAGTAATATCAAGTTTTCCTTCACTTCTCGCCGATTCTTTTGTCATTTCATCCAAAGTCTGTATTAATTTGCTTAATCCACTTACCATATTTTCTGATGCGGACGTGTCAGTGACATTTTGATGTATAAATGCGCAACTTTTCCTGATATCTAATTTTTCATTTGTCATTTTCAATCTCAGAAAGGCATGAACAATCACTTGCAGAATATCCCGTATTTCGCTCGTATTTTCTCCCATTATGTTTAACATTGTGATATCAGCTACACCGGTTATTACAGTAGCCAATTCATTGTTATGTTCATGCTGCATATGACTTAACTCAGGTGACCTCAGGCCTTCTGTGTCCACAATAAGTACATAGCTAAACACGGAAGAAAATTTGCAAATTTGTTCAGTTTTTGTAGGAATGAGCTGAACATGTATTCCTCTAGTGCACCTACCGGTTCTAGATGAAAACTGAGATCCGAACATCGTGTTCAAAAGAGCTGACTTTCCAGAACTTTGCAGACCTAAAACGCCTAGTGTCATAACTTTACTGGACTCAATACATATGTCAACCTTTTGCAGGATTGTTTTTATCCACTTGTAAGGCATATAAAAGCTTTCACCATCAATTAGCTCTAATTGGTGTCCATCAGCAACAAGACGACTGATAATACTTGACATTTGGTGTACATTTGGCAATCTCAATTTGTCTGTGTCTTCTTTAAGTTCTAAAATAGCTTCATATATTTGACCAATTTCACGGAAAAAATGTTGAACTGCAAACGATGCTTCATCTATATTTTCTTCTAGATCGATGATGATAGTTTCTTGCTTTTCTATTTCCTCTTTTACCTGATTTTTAGCACTTTTAAGTGCTTTTAGTTTTTCCAATGCACTTCGATTTGCATGCATCATAAGGGGAAATATCTGCCGCTTTTCTCTTTCAATAAAAATATGTAACCAACAAAGAAAATATTTAAGTACTGAGGGGGAACTGTTGTTTTTAATAAGAATGTCAAGAAAACATCGAACAGGTTTTGTAATCGATTCTATTTGTTGTCGTCTCACTGTTTTAATTTTTTCATCAATATTGACTCCTTTTGTAAAGTCTCTCTCTCGTTCTCTTTCTTTTATAAGTTGTCCTAATTGCCTTGTTAATTTACAATGGACAGGTGTTACGCGTTGTTTCCCCAAACACGAAGGTTTTAAACCCCCATGCTTTCGACACCTCAATATTGTGTATATTAATGCAGTAGCTTCCTGCATGCCTTTGTTGAACAAAACTGAATCATCTTCGTCCGAATGGACTTTTGTATTTTAGCTCATTATGTCTTATCTTCGACATCCATATGTCGTTACTTAAGAACATGTTTCAATAGAATTTATTTTGAACAACCTGATTGTGAATAGTGTATTTTGTTTCAGACTAGAAGACAGGCATGCACCAGCATTGTGAGAGAGAGACAGCAGTCCCTGTCTTCACTAACACCAGTAATACTGTATGAGTGTAACTTAACTATTCAGTAACAGCATCAATGATTGCCGAATTTTGATGATGAGTATTTTACAGCACTTTGTAAACCCTGTTACATAGTTTTTAATTTTCCATCCCGTTCGGTTTTAAGGGTCCCTGCAATTATTAAAATGACTGAGGAAAATTGAAGAAGAATATCTTCAACCATCTTACTTCGAACCAAAACTGTATCTAAGTCAATAATAATTACAATAGAGTCTATTAAGTGTGAGATGAAATATAAAAGGTCTTGACTAAAGTCTTGGCCTAGATCACCCCTCAAGTTCAAAAATGTCATAGAATCTTTAAATCTATCCTTTTTTTCATCGATGGTAGGTAACCAAAACATTTCAACTTGTCCGTTACTTAATTGTCTTGGTGTCATTCCAGAGGGACAATCAATATTAAAAAACGTTTTACAACCTAGACTTAAGAGAAGACTGTTCATCAGCTTAGATTTTGAATAGCGAGGGCGACCTAACCTTCCAAATGCTATCACCTTTGTTTGAAGATCAAGGACATCACTTTCCTTACCCTGAATGTCATTTTTATTGGCAATATTTGACTTACTTTCTATGGTTAGGGACCGCAAAGGCCAAACAGAGAGTACTGGACTATGCTTATCATTTGTTCCCCAATACCTATACAAAAAAGGTACAGCGAGTTTGCTAAGATATAGTTTCTGAACAAATATTTGTTTCATAAATGGATCACAACATTGAAAAACGACAGTGAATATATCAAGTGGACTGATGTCTTCATTGACATCTTGTATTTCCGAAAAGCATGATATTGAGTCCTCTAAATTAAAACAGTCTTCGGTACTTTTTTCTTCAGACACTCTGATGTCTCTAGATTCGCTATGAGCACACATCAGACGCTTCAAAACCAACCAAGGAATATCAGTTAATGATAACCTTCCATGTGTCTGCTCAATGCTTTCGTTCGGATCAACTGCTATGACATCTCGCAAAGATATTTTACCAGGGAATTTGTCAGTCAATCCTAGTCTTTCAAGTATTTGATGAAAAACCTGACCCTCAGTCTCTGTACAAGCTGGGAAAATTAAAACCACTGACCATTTATATAGTTATGTGTCAGAAATAATCGATAAGTTAATTAAAATAATGCATATGAATAACACTTGTGTGAAAAATTTCATCAAAAGAAAAGAGTCGATTTTGATAATACAATGTGGTTTAAACTTACAAAAGGTTTTGAAAGTAGCGAATGATGCAGAGCTGGTTCAAAATGCGAACGTTGACAAATTACGGATCAAGATTACAATAAAATTTACAGTTAAAAGCAGCAAAATATAATATTATAAATTATGGTCATCCGGAAAATAACAGATTAGAAAAAATTGATATTTCTATGTCACCAGACTTGCTGATATTGATATGTTTCTTTATTGCATTTTTTCATACTGCCAAACATGAAATATAGCTAAAGTTGATAATTATAATTACATTTCTTATTTGTGGTGGGTGAAATAAGACATGAAATAATTTAACAATAGAGATATCAAATCAGCTTTATTACCTTTTGACTTTGAAGAATCTGGACTTTGAAGGTCACTTTTGACAAGGTTGAAATCAGCAATTACGACAACAGCAGGTTCTAAAAGAAATTTGATAAAATATTTATCAAATAAAATATATCACTTAAACATTGTATCACTTTCTAAATAGTCATGTTGATGATACCACAATATCTCTTAAAAAGCCTTATTTTCTCTTTTTTAAGTTTATATGTAAATCGCCTATTTTCGCTCAAGAACTGTACTATTAGTTGTTTCTCAGCTATGTGACATTTTCATTTGAAATGTGTTTGGGTTGATAAGTATACACAATGAAGTTAACTGTATAACCTGCACTTCAATTAGTACATTGTGACAGTAATTGTATCCAAGATTATGCAAAGTTTGAATCAATTTTATGTTTCAGTTTTCATTCTGCTAAATGTCTGTATTCATACGCTTTCAGTGTGTTTATTTCAGTATTGCAAGCAATCAATAAGTCCCCTACCGGTACGAATCCCAGCAACATTCTAAAGGGCCATTGGCCATTCGATTATGCCATCGAATGAATGAAAAATGACATGATTGAACTTAAATCTTTTGCGTTCTTAGTTTGTCTGTTTCATAATAATGTGTTAAGTTGCCCAGCCTAGTAAGTTTTTATGTATTTATGTTTATACAACAGATAGTAAAAAGGTCCAGTTTTCTCAGGATGAATAAATATAACTTGATAATATGGTTCAGCTTTTCTCTATTTTAAGTAAATTTGTTGGAAAAGTTCTTTAAAAGTGATCTCAAGAAACAGTTTTTATGAACAGATAGACAGACGGACTGAAAGAACATTCTATAATAGTAAATTTTTAAACATCCCTATTACCAAAATATAACATTTTTAAAAGCAAAACTCTTAAAAAGGAGATAACTTTTAAAATAAAGATGCTTGACTCATGAAGATTGTCATACATGATGTGAGTGTAACAAAGAACAATTATTTTAAGTTTAAAGATACCATTTATAGTCACAAAGAAGAAATTGAAAAAAATAACAATTTTCAAATATACCATGCATAGTAACAAAAATTAAATGTTGATATAAATGTTAGTTTGAATTTGAAGAAAATCCATGAAGAATTAAGAAAGTTAAAGAACGAATGAGAAAAATTCAAAGTTTAAGGAGGAGATCATTCTGGAAATATGGATTCTAGATTTATAAACCTTGTCATATTATTATAATGTGGGAGTTTGAAGTAAATCATAATTATAAGGAATAAAGAAGTTGAAGTAAAAAATACCAATTTCAACAGTTCGAAGTTTAAGAGGAACATAATTTTGAAAATAGTCTTGCTAGAGTATTGAACCTTCTCACAAATGATTTGAGTGATAATAAAAAAAAACATATATATGAAGTTTGAAGAAGATACATTAAGAAATAAAGAAGTTATTAAAAAGAAAACCATATTTTCCTGAAAATTTTAAGTTCAAGGGAGGCATTTCTGATAATTTGTGTGCTAAAATTGTAAACCTTGTCACATATTATGTGGTTGATGACCACAAACTTATATTTTAAGTTTGAAGTACATTTAAATACGTTAAGAAATAAAAAAAAACTGATATTGAAACTGCGTAAAAAGTAGAATCAAAAATCTTGACGAGGTTGAGCAGAAGTTTGGTAATTATGACAACTCTCAATACACTCCCTATAGTCAAGATAAAAATGATGTGTATAATTTCCATACTGCCATTTATCCATATTTTAAGTTTCATAAAAATTTTAGTTCTTTTTTACTTATCACATATATTGTTATATTTGCCATTTTCTATGCCTATTTGTTGCCAGAGCAACCAATTTATTGAACACAGGAGGAAAAGAAAAAGACATGCATAATCTCAACACTGCCATCTACCAATATTTCTAGTTTCATAAAAATGTTTCAATACTTTTTGCATTATCCTTTAATCCAGTTTATGTGTTAAATGTGCCATATTTTCAGTCTATTTTTGGCCATAGCAACCAGAATTTTCAACATAGGAAACAAAGAAAAAGACGTGCATAATTTCTAGACTGCTATCTGCCCATATTTTAAGTTTCATAAAAATAAGTTAAGTATTTTTTTCATTACCACTAGATCCAGTTTATATGTAAAATTTGCCATATTTTCAGTCTATTTGTTGCAAAAGCAACCAGAATTTTCAACATAGAAAGAAAAAAGACATGCATATTCCCCATACTGCCATCTATCAATATATCAAGTTTCATAAAAATATTTTCAGTACTTTTGCGTTATCGCGGGATCGAGTTTTGCCGACGGACGTACCAATTTTTCAGGTTTATGAGCTATTTCTATTGTTATTTTCTTTTGTTTCCTTGTGGGCTAACTATTGTTTCCTTATGAGCTAACTATTATTTACGGAATAAAGTCCTTTGTTCTCTTTTGTCCCAGTGTACCGTTAGTTAGCTCATATACCTAAAATGTTTGTGCGGTCGAACTGACAGACGGATGGATAGACAGACGGACGGAAGGTTAACCTAAAGTCCCCTTGGTTAAACCGGCAGGGGACTAATAATCTTTATTTTGGCATTTAGTTGCATGTTTACTCAATACATATTAGTTAGTAACTTAGCAGGTGTCATAACTATTGCTTATATAATGTGACATGCTGAAGTATTTTATGTTTTATGAAGTAAATCATTATTTTATTATATACCTATAAATTTTTCTCCCTAAAATATACGCAAATCTTGAAGCGCAAATACGCTTCAACGGATAGAAAATTCCTTTTATGTTAGTAACAAATACGGTTCCATATATGGAAGTACCGGACTATTTTTTGTTTGGACCCCGCCTTTTCTATGCGTTACGTAGTGTATTGAATCGGGAAC